GGGGTTGGGTATGACTGGCTGATGACGGCTAATAAGCCAGAAATGGCCATTCCGGTCTCCCTTGTCTTTGTCGGTATCATCTCATATATATATATATATATATATATATAGAGAGAGAGAGAGAGAGAGAGAAGCCAACATACTTCGGCTATTTAAGGCAACAGCTGAGTCAGGAGTAACATCACGTATGTTTTTACAACGAGACACCATCGTATGTGCAAGCTAAATTTGGAACGCGAAGAGGCGAATATACACGCCTGGGGTTTACTCCTCTTGTTAAGGTCGCACCATTCCGCGTACTTCGAGCAAGGTTGGCATGACAGTAGTTTTTGTCTTGGACAAAATGCACGGCGGTCCGCTGGCCATATATCTGCCTAGACCATGACCCGCCTGCCTCCAGTTCAGGCTACTGGATTCGTCATGAGGGCTCGCGAGCGTAGGTTAGGTCAAACTATGCAGTCACTAAGACCAACAAAGGAGTTGGCAAAGGAGAGGACATTCAGGCAAATTGTGGCAGATCACCCAGAAATAGCAGTACGTATGGAATGTAATAAGGGAGACATGCCTGAGGAAAAGTAAATGACTGACAGGGATATCGCGGTATATACAGTACCTGTGCTAACTCATGAAATGTCACGAATTAACACAGGTTAACGCCTTTAATGCAAAATCGGTTAACACTACGGCTCCCAAAGTCTGATAGCGGAAAATAAACGATGTGCCAAAGAAATAAAGCAAAGTTTGGTTAAGAAAATATTATTTACTGAGATAAAAATAAATAATATCCAGATCGCAGTGGTACTTTATGCTAGAAGACCACAAAGGCAACCCTTTACTTATACCCCGGGACTGTGTTTGACTACAGTCTTGAGAGAGGGCACTTTGGGGCGCACCGAATAGTTCTTCATAAACGATGGTCGTCGGTGTGAATTTCGCTTAACGAACACCTGAACTTGCGTCGCACTGGTGTTGTCTTTGTCCCATCTAAAACATATTTTCTTTAAGTGAATAAGAAGAATGGTCGAGCGCCGGAACATTTTGTTTATTGTCCTGAGCTTTCGAACACGTGCTGAAGTCCATCGTTTGAGATAGTAGCAGCAACAAAAAAGGGACAGCTCTAGAGGGTGCAAGCTAATCATCGACCGACGGCGCAAGACTGGAAGTGACTGCGCATGGCTCTGTACGCCGGCGCCAGATCAATAAATTGATTGACTGAGTTCTCATCCGAGGCCCAGGCCTCAACCAATTCTCGGCCTGTTTTGTTTCCGGTGTGGGCGACTATTTTGGTGGCTGCGATGTTAACCTCATGACTCGTTTCGTAGGTGCGGGCGGCCACTTATGATAATACGTCGCCTCGTCGCGTAGCCAGCTTAAGTTCATGTATGTGCAATCTGAGCTTGCGTCCAGCCTGGCCTGTGTAATTACAAGGACAGTTTTGACACGGGATGCGATACACTACTCCAGATTGCTCTTCAGACTTTAACCGGTCTTTAATTTTCATGACCTTACTGCGCATGGTGGTGTTGTGGCGGTGTGCAATTCCAACACCTAGCTCCGCAGCTATGCGCTCGGTCGCTTCTGAAACATTCTTGGTGTATGGCAGAGAATGCCACATCGTTGGTGGTGTTAATGTTCGGGTCCTTTGGGGACGACCGCGTAGGCAGCAACTTATGGATGCCTTCGGATAGCCATTTTGCATAGACTGGTCGTGGACATAGCGGACCTCACATGCTCGTTCCTCCGGGTTGCTGCAATGAAGTTGGATCCGTTTTCTTTAATCAATTATTTGCCATTTTGTACCTTCCTACGTTCTGTGCTACGAACTTGGCAAGTGCACTAGGTATTTCATGAACTGCGAATCATTTTGGCAGCTGTCCTAACGAACAACCCGTTTTGGGTCGTTGTGAACCGACTGGCGGGGTAGGCGAACTGTTTGACATTCAGAACCAAGGATAGTAACTGACTGGAGCATATCTGAATATTCCAATCGATATACGCATTTTACAGCGCATATCTGCAATCAGAAGATTAATTAATATTTGGCCATAACCATCCCGTCGTGTGAAGAATATTCGCCTGTGCGCACAGCACCGGATCGTGCAACCCCGGTGATGTCGCCTCCGCAGATTCGCGTAGGCGCCATCGGGCATTTGGATGAGCCTTGTTAAACCACGGGCAAGGTTGCCATGGTGCCTAATCGGCGCAGAATTGATGTTTCCGTGTTCCACTTCCGAGACCAAGAGGAGAGCAGTCGTCCTGCTTGATCGAAACCCAGTGTCCCTAGGGAACACTTATGCAAGTAAATAATCCTAGAAGTGGACTCGAGCGTCAGCCTTAGGCAGGTTAACTTCCCCTGCTCTGAGCATTACCACAGAGCAGGAAGTTTTTCTAGTGTTACTTCCATATAATCGAATTAGAGGCTCCACTAGCTCTGCCAGTAAAGCAGTAAAACAAACTTTGTTTCTGAATAGCATAAGAAGGCTTTGCCTTTATTGCACGGTTTTCGGGGCTTTTTACTCAGACTTTTAGTCAAAAGTACGCGGAATGAGTGTGCTTCAGTTGCGCGGGCGTATCGGATGGAGAGTTGGGTTACTGTGGGGCTTTAAAATTGTTGTTTAGGCAAAGATTAATGGCAAAGGAAAATGTTATGGAAGTTAGCAGCAACGGGCGCCAAATAATAAAACATAAATATCTTATCCAATGGCAGAAAACGTCTGAAGTCATTTGCGGATCTGCTGCAATTTCTGACATAGTAAAGACTTTGGAGAAGTTAGGAAATTACTCCTGACGCGAACGTCCGAACCCGCGGCAGCAGTAAGACTGAATTACACTAGGGCAACAGTATAGAGAAGAACCCCACTTAACTGTCAGTAGACTGTGGGTCGTGTCATACATGATTTGTGGTAAGGGGAAATTTACGAGTAAGACAGTACGCTAGACAGTAAGCTGAAAGATGGCAAAAACAGAAACTGCTTGAATTTTTGCCGAAACTTTTATCGTAAGCTATTGTAAGACGACGGAAATGAGAGTACTAATTAAAAAAAAACAAAAAAGTAAATTTCACAAAACAACGGATCTTGAGTTAATGCGTGAGGACGTGGGAGTTAATCGTTGTTGGCAGTGTAAATTCTACAACTGCCTGCAAATGTATGTCAAGATAAAATCCCATATGACACGATCCAAAACCCGCCCTCAGTTAAGTGGGGTCCTTTATTATACCATTGCCAAGTTAACTTCTACGAGAACCTTTATCTTGACATGTGCGAGCAGATGACCATTAGGTGAGGGGAAGAAGACTGTATAGCTGAACAAGGAATTTGACTTGTCTAACATTTGGTATTCACGCTCAAATCAACCTTCAGATACAGTAACATATAAAAATAATTGACGTCTGTCTTGCTCATTGGCATGATATTTACTCAGCCGTATGACCCACTATTACCTTCACCAAAGGCGATGTTCATTCGCCCACCCTCCCAATGACTAGTTACTCCGACCAGCCAGTTTAAAAGGCAGAGAGAATCCCTGCGCTTGTGGACTCACTGTGCACCGGATTGCACCGATTCGGGTAGCTTGTGGCTCCCGTGGTGATTCTGGCCCCAACGAACTGAAAGATTTGACCGGGCCACTTCCGCTGTCCCTCTATCGCTTACCTGCGCCTGGAGAAATCGT